ATCTTCAAGTTGTTTTCCAGCGAAGATCAACCTTTGCTGATCTGGTGGGATACCTTCCTTGTCTTGAATTTTCGCTTTGACATTTTCAATTGTATCTGAAGCCTCTACTTCCAAAGTGATGGTTTTTCCCGTTAAGGTTTTGACAAAAATCTGCATTCCACCACGTAATCTGAGAACCAAATGGAGAGTGGATTCCTTCTGAATATTGTAATCTGACAAGGTGCGTCCATCTTCAAGCTGCTTTCCAGCGAAAATCAAACGCTGCTGGTCTGGTGGGATGCCTTCCTTATCCTGGATCTTTGCCTTTACATTCTCGATAGTATCAGAAGCCTCAACTTCGAGAGTTATGGTTTTCCCGGTTAACGTCTTCACGAAAATCTGCATGGTGCTCTGGAATAAAATTTTCACATTTATATGGAAGATATTTATCATATGAAAATATAGACTTATTTTTTTAGCTAAATTTTTTGCTTTTGTTCATCTTTTCCGGTTTTTCTCTCCACAATGAAAAAAAAGAAGAAAAATGAATTGTGCGAGAAATTTTACTAACAATAAAATGAGTAAGTTTTATAGACCAATTCCGTTCCAATTATTCACGAATTGTGTCATGGGTAAAAAAAAATCAAACAATTAATAGATTTTCGAATAGATAACACATTTACCTTCACTAACAACAAATAGTGTAAGAAACTGTATCAGTAATAGCTGAAGAGAAAGAGGCGTCGGTTGCCAGCAGTTCTAAGAACATGACGCAGTAAAATCAATAGCCACCATTTTGTCTGCGTTAACATTGCAAAAAAGATCCGACGCCATGTCACGGTTCGTAGAAGAACACAAGTGATGCGTAATAATAAACGCGATATCGTATCGATCTGAAGGTTCTTTCTTTCGTGTTCTACATGCTTAATACGCAGAAACGAACCAACTTTTCGACATCTCGAAATATATTAACCAACAATATGCCAAGTGCAGCGGCTCGCAGTCTGTTCCGCCTAGCAACAGACTCGACACAACGATCGATATTGCGGGAACGTATATTTGACGATTCACGCAAATTCTACGACACGAACATCGAAATGTCAATTATACCTCTTCGAGAACTTAAACGTAATTTATCGAACAATTTTTCGATTATTATTATGATCATATACTATTATTAAAAATCTCCAAATCCCGTTTTCGCGAGTATTTCGATTGAATTGTCGCTAAAAATTGATATTCGAGATTTTATATTGACAAATAAGTAACATACCTTTTGTGCGAAAGCTTCTTGCTTTGTACACTCAGACGATTCGAGAAACTGCCTTGAAACGTCAAAATTATCCTCTCTGCTCGAACTCACAAAGACTATTGAGCCACAAATGTCGCGAGCTTTGCTTTTATACCGTATTTGCTCGTATGACTCAGCGTTGCGTCCGATTGGCCGAAAAGCGTTGACAACGTCAGCGATTGGCTCGTGACTCGCGTACGTCATACGCGTTTAGTATGACGCGCTTCGTAATTCCATATCGACTTTGTAATAAAGAATCCTCCAGAGCTTTCTATGACTCTGCTATATACATATATATACATACATGATGTTGCAAAATTATCTTATTTTAAACAGCTTTTTCTTCCAAAACTGAGAGAATATATACATTCAATATGAATGTGTAGCCCAACAATAGATCACAGTTGCATTAAATATGTCAGAAATAATTCAATTATTAATATATAAATTTCACCGATAATTCAGATAATTTTACTACGCACTTTCAAGATCGCTTTGTTAATTTAAGATTTGAAAAAAGTATATCAAAGCATACTTAAATGCGCGTATTTCGTCTCTTTTCGTGATCACACAATATCATATAATATGAAAAAGACAGAATAACCGCATCAAGTATGCTTCGATATGCAATTGCGAATGAGAAGGCATTTCTGTCCCTGTGTATAATTCTAAAAAACACAAAATCTAAAATCGAGATGTGAGTCATTTTTAAGGCATTATATCCGTCTGGCATACTTTATCAACAGATAAAACAATTAAATAATTGAGCTCTTTAAAAAAATTGTATTTGAAAGAGTATATTTTGAATATTATTGACTATATTATATGTATGTACTAGAAAAGAACTAAGAAAATTAATAATGTTCAATCTCTCAGAAATAACACAGATGATTGAAAATATACAAAGCTACATTTTGATATACATTGTCAATATTAAATTTGTATAATTTATCTTATTTATATTATAGACTTTCAATACTGATAGGAAAAATGTTGAATGTAAATGAAAGTATTAAAAAACTAATAAAGCAAAAATGAAAATTTAAGACAGTTATTTATTAGATATAATTCGTATCTAATAATTAAAAATTAAATTAACTAGTACCTGTCTATAGTTTATCATCTTTGGTTTAAAGTCGAACGTAAGAAATATGATTATTTTTGCAACATCGTATATGCACCTTTGTCCCCGTTTATTAGACTAAAACTATTGTAATTTTTTATTTAAGGTCAGCTTTCGAAAAAATGATTCCCGTTCACTTCTTATAATATTTCTTCTCTCAATACTGTAAATGAGATCTCAATGACGCGAAATAGCGCAATTCTCTAAACGTTATTAAAAAAAAGTCCTTGGATTGAGTTATTTATAGCTAAACACAATAAATTATTCCTTAAATAATAAACAGGAATATATACATATTCAGATTTTTTAGGCATAAAAGAATATTCGCTGAACATTCTTTATATACTGTTCAAGTGCTTGTTCTTTGTCGGAGAGTATATTTTCGGTTTTCATTCAATATAAATTGGACGCGTTGGTCACGAAATCATAAATGTCGCAGAATCGAATTCATAGAATTACAGAATCATAAATGCAATGTCACAGTTTCGATGACAGCTTTCAAACTGACGCAATACTATTGTACTCGGAAGTAAGATAAGATATTAATATATCTTTTTGTCTTCAAATGTTTTTTTGTTTCTCAAGTAAAAAAAATATGTAATTACGCGATCGAGCAATTATTTTTCTTTCTCGTAAAAAGATATTGAATTTCAAACAGAATCAATAGAAATCTAATAAACCCGACATGTGATAATCAACGAAGAAAATAAAAACATGTGTACTTAAGGATAACTCAAGTTCGAAAAACAATGATATAAATAAGTATTAGCCCGTTGGCCTTTTTTCAAATTCAGGCTACTTGTAAGTCGAAATTCTTGTAAACAAAATGTTGAAACAGGAAGGAAAAGGAATGTCAGGGAAACTAGAATATTAAACCTTTTGGTCAGAAGTATTACTAAGTTCACAGTTGCATCGTACACATGTTTGTTTTATTCAATGATCATTTGAAAATATAGAACAGAAAATCTTCACAAGTCAAAAGAAATTCTTTTAAACGGAGGACAGTATTTAAAAATTTAAACATTTCAATTCGATAGGATTGCTTGAAATTTTATAAATGAAACTGAAACCGATTTATAATGTTGTGTTAAAAATGAAAACCGTTAACACGTGCACTTATTCCGCATCGGGTATCGTCAAGCATCCAAATTTATCGAGTTATAAATATCTTGCCGCTATTTTCTGCGCGAGTCACGTATGTGACAATAGCATACATCGTAAATGGTTGCAGCTTTGTGCAGGAGAGAGAGAGAGAGAGAGAGAGAGAGAGAGAGAAGAGAGAGAGAGAGAGAGAGAGAGAGAGAGAGAGAGAGAGAGGGGGGGAAGTATATTTCCTATATGTACTGACTACACACACACACGCACACACACACGCACATACACACAAATCTCAATGCAACTATTGCCTACCCTTAACTTCAAACTTATAAATGTCCATCGTCGCAATCTACCACTCGTTCGTTTAGATTCCTTCTGCTCATATATCCGCCGTGATCGAAATAATTCTAAATGATCGCGTTAACAGACGCGTTCGTCAATTTCGTCAATGTAAGTCTCTTTCAAAACTAATCGCATCACTTCTATCAAAGCCATCAAGTTAGTCAATTAACCCAAAGCTTTTGCCTAACATAGCGCTATCTTCCTTCTTTGTAATAGACAGATTACAATATTCGATGTCGAATATATCAGGAAAAAAAAAAAACGATTATCATTACTACGAAGTAAATTCATAACAAAGATATGAAGATCAAGATCGTTCGCTGTTGTATTTTGACAAACGCGTCTCATATTTTAATTCCATCATTTCTTAAATTATGCATATTCTAAAAATCATGACAAGCATCACCTAGTTTCGGATTGCCCGAAGATATTTCTCTTCCTAAACAAGCAACTGACACGGCGGAAAAACTGTTTTCTTATACTAGATAAGTTAATAGATTCTCGTATCGTAACATGAATTTTTTTATAGATCTACTTGGAGTCTGTTTCCATTTTGATCTCCTCTGCCTTTTTGTCTTTTTTCGAAGCCTCGCTATCCGTGCCTTCTCCGTTGCTGTTGTCGCGTCTTCGCTTTCGGGCGAAACGTCCTTTGAATTTCGGTGGCGGCAATTGCTCCATACCAAGGACTTTGTGGATCTGGCGGAACGCTACTAATCGCAACGCGTGCTGCGCGGACGCGGTAATATCTTCTCTTTGTTGGGACGTCATATTGCCTATTGCATCAACTGGTTCTTTCTCACATGGATCGGACAGTCCTAAGCAATAAGATATTTCACATCAATAGGTTTTTGCACATTACTGTTGAATTGATCAATAATATCGTTAAAATTTTGATTCAGATTGCCGATAACATCTCCGTATTATCGCGGAATGTATGATTATGATACGGGAGAACAAAATACTTGCACTCGAGATCAACAATCACCTCCACAATATACTCAGTCTCGTCATCTTTTTTCATCATTTCAAAATAGAAAATCAGTTCAAGTATGACAAAGTAGAGATTCTAAAAAATTACCTGGACTACCCGGTAACAATATTCCTCCAGCTACGCATTCCAGAAGTCTTCTTAAAGCTTCTCCAGGACTAAGAGGACCTCCAGCAGTGCTAATCACTTTCTCAGTCAATAATTCTAATGCCTATTTTAAGAAAACGAGTTCAAGAAATTGTAGAAATACCGAAATATATGTATAATGAGAAATACATTATATACTAACCCAAGGATTTAACGGACCCCATGTTGGCACACGATTGCATAGGTCGCGCATTATACGGATAACCATAACGCAGCTTTGCAGCGAGGTAGCTCTAGCCTGTTGAAGGATAAACATTTCAAAAACTATGATTTAATATACGCAATAAATGACGCACTGACTCTTCTGAAGATAAGACGGCCTAAACTACCCCTCGATTGCTTTGTGTGGGCTTTAGCTATCCTCCCAGCCTCGTGCCTAATGCCCCTAATAGTATTAGCCCATATCAATATTACCGGGTGTTTATCGATCTTTTTTTCCTAAGCGTTAACACCTATCGCAATAAAAAAAAGAATTAGAGCTCATGTGTCAAGGAAAGTGTGCATATCTCAAAGAGCAACTCTAGGATTCGACTTTAATTTACAGAAACACCCGGTACACTTATGACGCGCTACTGTGTGTTTGTGCTTGTCTGTCTCTTTAATCTCCAAAGTTGTGCAGTTAACGCACATGAAATCGTTATAATACAAAAATGGAACGAAATACATAATCTCACAAAAGCTGTATTGACATGTCGATTTAGTTTCAAGTTAAGACAGACCTAGAACAGACGCAGCCTAGGCTACAACGCATTAAGGACGATCCAGAATAATGAATTACGCTTAATCGTAAAGCAATTGAGCGATCTGCGTTAGTAAAGAAAAAATAAAGAAAATCACATTCATTCTAAAGACACAAATAAATTATATTCGAATTGAGACGTCTCGCAGAATGGTTACTATTATTCTGGATATTGAAGATTCAAAGCAAAGCAAATGTAAATGCATCTAGCAGCATTTGTATGTGACTGTCGAGATACACATTTACATGTTGCTTACTTGCGAGATTTCTTGCCTGATAATACATCTGACCGTATGTTCGATGTACAATTATTTTTCTCTTCCACGTATGCAACGACAATGCCACTGTTACCCATTTTTTTTGAAATTATTTCGGACCATTTCAAAACATAATAATAAATGTAGCCCGAGATTTAAACGTAAAATCCAAAACTCTCGGAAGAGAATATACAGTGGGCAAGGCCGACTGGCACGTGTTCAAAAATTCAGCGGATATAAAACAAGAAACATCGAACATGATCAAATAAGCAATTCAGACAGAATCGTGTCAACGATGGGTCGGTTAATGATAAAAAATAAAACCGTCACAAGGCTGGAAGTTTCTAAGACTGCTTTCTCTCTTCTTTTTTTTTTGTTTCTTTTTTTCTGTTTTAAGAGATTGTTTTAAGATAGAAAGAGGAAGGACAACTTGCACGCGTCTCACGTTTTGTCAGGAGAAAATAAAAGAAAATGCTTTGTTACATAGCGCCAAACAAGAATGTGGCACCGACAATTCGAATTCTTGAATTGAGAGTTGATGGATTCAAACCTGAAACCACTTGGCATGCCTGAGTGCAGCTAAAGCCTCCAAACACTTAGCCTTGGGAAGTACATCTGGTGGATCTGGTTTCGTCACAGTCGGGGCCGCGGGCGTTGTTTGCAGTTGAGCAGCTTCCTGCTGCTGCTGTCCAGCATTATCTGAGATTCCAACAAAGAAAGCACAACACGCTTAGACAACACTTAGAGTGTTTGATCATGCCCAGAGATTTTAGGTATTCCCTCTCTCTATTAATATTCGTTTCAACTTAAGCACCTTTAAATTGTGGTCTATACCGTGATAAATGCCAACATGAAAAAAGAAATATAAGCCTGATCGAATGTAGTACGTTTGCAATGCACCGAATTCACCCCCGTTCAAACGTTCTTTCTCAGATGGTTTACGTGCCGTTCAAGAACGTCCGACGATTCCTATCAGCATCGGTAGTGTCACCTCTATCCGCTTAAAAGGTAGGTAGCACCGATGCCAATAGAATGGTCGGTTAAAATCCAGAGGTACGTAATGCACATCGCAGAATGTGCGTACAGCATTCGATAACAGTCAGAGGGATTTTCTGTCTTTTTTTATGCATGATCAAAAAGTCCATAGTTTTAAGATTGCCTCAGCGTTGTTTCCTCCTATCGCAAGCGTGTCCACGTTCAATGAAATCTCTCGTTAGTATCGTTCGACGATGAAGACTGTAGCTCAGATATTCATTCTTAAAAAGATATAGCAAAAAGTAGCTACTACAAACGAAATAACGCGCGACATTGGCGACTGATGTCTAACCGTATCAAGTTTACGCTCTCTCTTTCTGTGAAATTTGTCTTAATATCGTTCGAGTATCGTATTGCGATATACTCTTATGGTCAAAACTGTATTCTACAAAGAGGACTCTGTCGTGGACACACTAAAACACGCAAGTATATCGAAAAAGAAATCAACTTTATGTTAGAGCGTATGTACACTGGCAACCGTCGAATCGTCCTTGGCTGCCCCGCATCATCCTGGTGCTTAAAAAAACTTACGGAAAATCTTCTGGGCCATGAAAAGAACAAACTAAATGTACAAATTGCAGAGCAGAGATCAAGAAAACGGCATTAAAATAAAAGAGGTGCACAATTTCGTAAAAAACCCCGCTTCGCCTTCATAGTTATCCTTTTCTTGGCCACTATAAAAATGCGAAACAATGAAATCACCTGCTGCTGCAGTCGACTTGGGTGTCTCACGCATCAGAGGACTGGTAAGCGTCACACTGACAGTGACCGTACCCCCTGAGACAGTCAAAGCCGCAGATTCCGGATGCTTTCCAACGTTATAAGTTTCTTCGGGAGCTACATTCTTTAGTTCACCAGGTAAAATTTCAGCAACTTTATTGAGCAATGTCCTGTAAAGATAAATGGATTTTTTTTTAAGTTAGGATTTTTTAAGTTACGATTATAAATACAATCACTATATCACAAGGAAATCATCTGAAATACCTGGTTGGTTTCTCTGCACATAAAACAACCAGACAAACATGATTATCTCCAGAAAGCAACAATCCTTTAGCCAAGTTTCCAACACGCATAACACCACGAAGTATCCTGGAATCTTCTTTTTCCTTTTGGAACGAAAAAAGATTGCCATCGCTGCCGTCTTCCTTCTGTGGGGTAGTTGCCTTCTTCTTGTCAGCCTCTTCTTTCTTCAATGCATCGGCATTTGCTTGCGGTGTACCAGACGTTGCTGTTGCTGTAGTAGTTGCATTGGAATTGGTAGGCGTATTCTTTTTACCTGCAAATAACAATGTACATCCATATATTTCTTCAAATTAGAGAGAGAGAGAGAGATATTTTGAGTGTATACTCAATAAGAATATACTCACTAGCTTCAGCTAAAGCATCAGACACAAACTTTAACGCCTTTTCGGTATGAGAAACTATTTTCTGAACTGCCAACAATTCTTGTTCTTTAGGATAAATTGTAGTATGATGTGCCAACACATGCTTATCATCCGAGGAATCAGGTCGTCTCTGAGGGCCTGGGAACATTATCATAGGTGGTGGTCCTTGGAATGGACGTGGCATCGGCGGAGCTCCTGGACCGCGTCCATATCGTCGGTACCATTCGTAATATTCACATTCTTCCTCGTAGCGACGTCTCTCTTCCCAATACATCATCTCCTCGTCCATCATGGGTCCCATAGGTCCCAACTGATTGATTTCCTCTCTGCGACGTAGATA